GTATGGACAATCGCAGCTCCCATTGGCTGGGAAGGGTGATCTGCGGCCAACAGGAGCTGTGATCCCCGTACCTGCAGAGGTGCAGGTAAATACGGCAGAGTGGGGGCCTGCCACGGTTTAACCCTGGTGGTCCAGATCTGGCCCAATATTTTCCCATCCCTGTTGCAGAATCTGGAGATGGTAAAAGAGGCCTACAGAGGGACCAAGGTAGGAAATAGTACTGGGAGAGGCAGCAAGGGGTATCAATGAACAAAACTTGACTGCTCAATACAGTGCCCTGATCTGGAACCCAGGGTAGAGGAAGGGATTAGCACTCCTACCAGTGTCTGGGGAAAGGTGGTGAATTTCCCTCCCACACACATATCCTTGAGACAAGGGGTATGAGCACTGGAGAGTGTGACGTAGTGGGGGATACCTTGCTGGCTACAGCATGGCCCAGCAGGGCAGGGGATGAGTCATTATGCAAAAAGGGTCTCTCAACCTGTCCGACCAGCTACCCCCCAGGGAGAGCAACAAAGGAAGGTGGAATGCCGCCCCTGGCTGGGGGCAGGGCTGGAAGAGAATTGGTTAGGTTCTGTCTGGGATCATGGAGGAGACAGCCTAGGGAAAGGGGCTGGAATTTAGGGGCCCGGTCTCCCCCATCTCAAGGGGGGTTGAGGCATCCTAGCCCCAGTTCCTGTAACCAGATTACATCTGTGCTGTGCTGTATCCTGGAGGAGCAATAAACTCCCTCTATTCTACTGGCTGGCGGAGTCTGTTCGTGTCACTACGGGGGGGCAGGAGACGGGAAAACCCCAATGCGCCGTCACAGAGAGCCCTGAGGGAAGGGGTCCAGCACTCGGGGTCAGACACCAGAGGGAAGGTTATTGGACAATTGTTTTGTGGGATTCTCTTTTATCCTGGAAAGGGTGGGATTGAATGTGAACTGACTGGAGGCTGAGCCATGAAAAGAGGTAGAACTCCAGAGGGCTGAAGCAGCTGTCAGCAGAGGGTGCTGGATGAGAGGAACCTGCTACGCTACCCTACGCCACACCATGAGGGAGTGCACTCGAGGTGAGCACACCTTTGGCACAGTCCCTTTACTTTGCTATGCATGGTATTTAATTTAAATGCTGAAGAGACAAGATTATACCAGTGTCATCGGGCATAGAAGCTTGATCAGTATTTCTCTCCTTCTTGAAGACAATATTACCGAGCTGTAGGACAGATGAAACCACCTTCATCATAGCTGTAAAATAAATTAAAAAGTAAAATGTCAGGAATTCTAATGAGAGAAATAATAGACATATACAAAAAATAACTGTTTCCAACAACAGAAATCATTGAGCTATTTTATAGTGTAGAGCAGTGGTTCTCAGCCTAGTTATCATTGTGGGTCAGATTTGTGTCCTACAACTTGTTTCCTGGGCCACAAGGTTGAGAACCACAGTGTCCCCACAACTCCCCACAGATCTATGGGTATGTCTAGACTGCATCCCTCTGTTGGCAGAGGGATGCAGATTAGGCAGGTCGACATTGCAAATGAGGCAAGGATTTAAATATCCGGTGCCTAATTTACATAAAAATGGCTGCCACGTTTTGCCGATGTCAGCAAAAAGTGGCAGTCTAGAGGGGGATCTGTTGAGAAAGAAAGCCTTTTTTGACAGATTCCTTATGCCTCCTGCAAGGAGGTTTACAGAATCTGTCAAAAAAGGCTTTCTTTCTCAACAGATCCCCCTCTAGATGGCCATTTTTATGCAAATTAGGCACAGGATATTTAAATTCCTGCCTCATTTGCAATGTCGACCTGCCTAATCTGCATCCCTCTGCCGACAGACGGATGCAGTCTAGACATACCCTATATGTCCAGCACTTCCTGCCCAGACACCACTCCTCAGAGTGGGGCTAGGACTCCTGACTCTGGCATGTGGGACTGAGCAGCTGCTGTGTGTGCTAATTGGGCCTCATGGGCTGTGGACTGAGAAACACTAGTGCAGACTGTATCTTAGAAGAGCGTTTCTCATCGATTCACCTCCCCTAATGTTCATGATGATCAAGGCTTCCTCTCCTCCTTGGTGGCTGCAAAGCTTCCCTGGAGCAATGAAAGCAATTTCTTACTCAGAGAAGTAATGTTAGGAAACCAGGGTATGTATCTGTAGCTCACTTTGAACAACATTTAGTAGTTGGAAATAAAAAGAGAAGCCAGCACCATGTTATCTGTTATGTATTCATAACCACCACTTAGTGCTCTGAGGATTGTTGATGGCTCATAGACCATAGCCTGTGCACTACTATGGTAGAGTATTTTATTTTATAATAATGGTCTTAATCTACTCCTAAGAGCAAAAACTATTTCCTAATGTAGCAGTTCCATGGAATTAAAGTTAAGCACACGTATACATCTTTACAAAATCGGAGTCTAAGAATTTAGTATCGAAAACATCATCGGATTAAAGTGCAATTATGAAAGTGTGCATTAATGTAACACCACATTCCCTTGCATGTTAAAATACATTGTCACTTTACAAACCAGACTGTCTTGTGTTTCAGGGGTTAGTTCTTTTTTGCTAGACTCAAGACTTGTACAGAGAGTGGGGCTTTAGTGGGTTCGTGTTTTGGGGTCCAGGCAAGGGGAAATGAGGGGTCAATACCCAGAATTACCATTGCTGCCAGTGAGAGGTGTAGGCATTATCTGCCCCTGCGTGTCTTGGTGAGAGAAGAGCCTTGCCATCTTTATCACAATAGACACTTCTGAATCCAGTCTGGAAAGGTGCAAAATTGCTGCTCTTCAGGATTTAACACCCTCAGTCCCTAGTGAAATTGTTGGGGGCTGATGGAATTCAGACCCTCACAGACGCAGTTTGGATCAATGTGGTCAGTAATAAGATCTCCATTGTCCTGGCCACCAGGTGTCACCTCAGGTATGAAAACTAATACAACTGGGGGCAGAGCTGGAGGGGGGAGGGAGGGAAGCTCTCATGCAATGTCATGACAATCAAAACCACAAACTGTCAGCGAAGAGGGTTATCCTATATCCACATTATGTACATTTTCAAGATTGCTGAGGCTGATTGTTCATTTCTCTCTGCCCTGAACCTGCAGCTAATGCTAGTATTGGCAGCATCTTAATTTCTCCTGGGTGGCCACTCAAGTGCACATCTTACAGGGAACACTGCTTTGGAGGGAGAGAGGTATTACACCATATGGCAGATGGTGAATCTGACACAGAGGAAGTAAAACATAGATTAAGAACTCTGGAATGTCTGGTTCCCAGTCCAGTGGCAAGACCATGCTTCTCCAGAGAGGCCTGGACTTGAATAGTCTTGAATAATATTAACTTCCGAATATGAAACTAAATATGCATATACATGCAGATTACATAGTGGCACATCTTGAAAAGAACACACTACTGTAAGTGTGTGCCCAGGGATCTTACATCTATAAGCTGATGCTTGTAAAAATATGTCCTTTACTTGACTTGCTAGCAATTCTTACCAAGCTGTTCCTCTTCATTAAAACCCATAATTGTCATGGCTTCCAAGGTCTCCTGGAACATCTGATCATATTGCTGAGCAGGAAGGTATAGTTGTTGAAACTTTCCAGCAATAAATCCTCTATAAAGGGTGAAGAAAAAGTCAACTTAGGGAAAAGATCATTTAAAAATTTGATTGTCCAGAGTGTAAAGTCTGCTTAAATTCTCAAATTTCTGGTCTATTAAGTCCATTGATCTGATGCAAAGCAGATAAAAACAAAACCAAACAAAACAGTAGTTTTGCCAACCGGGGATTTCCATAGGCTGTGTCTACACTGGCGCGATCTTGCGCCAAAGCGTCCGCTCGTGCGCAAAAACTTGCTGCCTGTCTACACTGGCTGTGTATTCATGCGCAAGTAAACTGACATTCTACTGTATGAAATCAGGGCTTCTTGCGCAAGAACTATGATGCTCCCACTCAGGAACAAGCCCTTTTGCTCAGCTGTTCTTGCACAAGAGGCCAGTGTAGACAGGCAACATGAATTTCTTGTGCAAGAAAGCCCTATGGTTAAAAGGCCATCAGAGCTTTCTTGCACAAGAGAGCGTCTACACTGGCATGGATGCTCTTGCACAAAAGCACATCTCTTGCGCAAAAGCACATGACAGTGTAGACGCTCTCTTCTGGAAGAGTTTTTGCACAAGAACTCTTGAGCTAAAGAGTTTTTGCGCAAGATCATGCCAGTGTGGACATAGCCCTGGTGTATGGAATTTAGTGCCTCTATTCATTAGTAGCTTTGAAAAATGTGTTATCACAGCTTCCAGTGACAGTGGAATGGATGGAGGAAAGAGGCCATAGCCAGGGCATATTTGTGTCCTGGCAACTCCTGATTTCTGGAAAGACCCTAAAGTCTAGGTTTGCAGGAGTAAGTTAGATAAACACCTGACAGCGGTGATCTAGCTCAGTGTTTCTCAACCAGTGGTATGAGTACCCTTACAGGTACTCGAGAGAAGTCTGGGGGGTAAGTCAACGCAACTGACATTTGGAGAAACCTGAATTTTTGTTTTAAGTTTTACAGCATTTTATTATTTTTGTACTTTTTACACCCAAAAATTTCATCGCTTACCAGGCTACGATTAAGTTGTTTAAACAAATGTGTTGCAACGGTAGAAAATATTTTTGTGTGTCTGAAAACTGTAAGTACTGGGGGTACTTATAATTTTTTTTAAAGGGGTACTTTATAAAAAAAAGGTTGAGAAACACTAGTCTAGATAATACCTAGTCCTGTCATGAGTGCAGAAGACTGGGCTAGGTGACCTCTGGAGGGCCTTTCCTGTCCTAAGATTCTACCATTCAAGGTCAGTTACGTAACTTGGCCCTGCTACTCAGGTAGTTCAGCTTAAGATAAATAACTTACTTTTCATTTGTTCCCCAGTGCCAGCAATCATATAGTAAAAGATATGAAATGTCCGCTCATCTCTAGCCTGGCGAATAGCACGAGACTTTTCAAGCAAATCTGTGTGTTATGTACGTTAAAAAAAAATCTTAATGCTGTGTTTCACTCCGTGCATCTAACAATGCCAGTTGCCTTAGTACAGGGGAGTCCAAACTTTTTTCAAAGAGGGCCAGATTTGATGAAGTGAACATGCGTGAGGGCCGACCATTTTGCCTGACATTCTTTGAACCATTAAAATTAAATGCAAATTAACTATTTTATGCAAAGTTTATTGCAAACGGCATACTTTTCATTTCGTCACATGGATGACAAATCTAAACAGGTGTTAAATCACTCTGCCTTTCATATCTGAAGGCCAGATGAAAAAAAAATCCAGGAAGCTGAAATATGTGTCAGGAACATTGTAAAGTACATTACATATTATTGGTAATAAAGGTTGTCTGTCAACTTTTAAGTTCAAAAAATATGAACAGGAACATAACACCAAGTATACATGTTGTGTCCAAATATATTTATAACTGATTTAGACCAACTGACATTAACTGAGATTTTACAATGTATTCATCTCAATACATATGAATTCGTTGGGGGCCTTAAAAGATAGATATTGCCAAATTACCTGTGGGGCCGTATTAAACCGGAACACGGGCCGCAATTGGCCCGCGGGCCAGACTTTGGACATGCCTGCCTTAGTACAATCCATGGCACATGTTGAATGTTTGTTAACTTGCCTAACAAACATGGGTTTGATCCTGCAATCACTTACTACCATGTTCAGTGCTTATTACTGATCTCAGCTGAAATACGAGAAGTGAGACAAGTGCTCCGTTGAGTACTTACTAGCATGAGTAGTTCTATGATCTGATCAAGGGTACTCATCATGATAGCATTCATTACATGTAATCATAGGTGTTATGGAGCGGGGGCGGGAAATAAAATGGAGATAGTTCACCAGGGTTAGCCCCTGGCGGGCTGCCACTGCAGTATTTACATGCTCCTCCATGGAGATGCGCCATCCCTGGCCAGTGGGAGCTGCAGGGAGTGCTGCAAACAGGGACCCCACTTCCTGCAGCTCCCATTGGATGGGAATAGTGATACATGGCCAATGGGAGGTGCAAATGTAACCCACACATCTAGGCTATGTCTACACTGCCAGGTTCTTGCGCCAGAAATATGCAAATGAGGCTAAGTGTGGAATATCACCGAGCTTTATTTGCATACCTAATGAGCCACCATTTTTGCGGAAGAGGCTCTTGCACCAGAAGGAGCTGTCTACACTGCCCCTTCTTGTGCAAGAAAAACCCTCTTGCGCAATGCCACCCTGCTGATTATTTTCAGGAATAACGGCATTGTGCAAGAGGGTTATTCTTGCACAAGAAGGGGCAGTGTAGACAGCTCCTTCTGGTGCAAGAGCCTCTTCCGCAAAAATGGTGGCTCATTAGGTATGCAAATAAAGCTCGGTGATATTCCACACTTAGCCTCATTTGCATATTTCTGGCACAAGAACCCGCCAGTGTAGACATAGCCCTAGTGTGGTTAGTGAGCAATGCAAGTGGCATCTATACCACAGCAGCAGCTAAGATCAAGAGACCGCTACAGCATGGGTTGGGAGCCAGCTGGCTTTTAGCTCAGAGGGTAGAGGCTCCTATATTAAACTTCAGAGATCCCAGGTTCAAATCCACCTGGTGGTGGTTACACAAGCACTTGTATCTGTGGAGATGCATGTAAATACAGTGGTGGGAGCCCACCAGAGCTAACTGGGGAACCATATCCTGCCTGCAGTATCTGCCCACCTCTGTCATAGAACCAGGCCTAGCTTACATGGTATCTGTCATGCCATGCTGTGATGCCCTTTCTTCCTCAAGAGGAACCCCTCTAGGAATCAGATACTAGTGTGAATCTTTCAACATCAATCAGTGTCTCCAGCACCCTTCCAGATGTCCTGCTTTCAAGGCTGGCACGTGAGCCAGTAAAGTAAAGTAAACATAATAATAATTACTAGCTATGGTAATGAACATATAATCTGCTAAATTTGGAGTTGACAACACTGGCTCAGCATCTGCAAATGATTAATTAATTGCTTTAGCCTGAGCCCAAACATCTGCACTACAATTAAATAGCCCCTTAGCCTGAGCCCTGCAAGCTTGAATCAGCTGGCACAAGTAAGCTGTGGGTTTCTAATTGGATATGGAGGAGGAAAGGAAAAGGAGATACACACTAGGTAGGGGGGAACTATCCAGAAAAGCTTGTTGCAAATGTCCAGCATTTGGAGCAGGTGGCACAGAAATATTGGCACAGAGCAAATGCTTTATGAGCCCCAAAGATAAGTCATGTCTGGGCAGGCTGGGCTCACAGTACAGACAGAGACCAAATGACACCAGAGGGACGGAAACCCTCACCTCAATATGCCAGGAATTTAATAAGGGAAGGGGAATCTTAGGTGATTTCAACACATTCCCACTAGACAGTACTTCTTGTCAGTTTAATCCTGACTCCTACTCTTTCCTGCTGTCACTTTGATGAAGAAAAAATAAATGTCTTAGGTATTCATGGTAGTGAGATAGCACCCTCAGAAACTTGGACCCCACTGCACTACACACTGGACAAAAGACAGTCCCCATCAGCATATTATCACTGGTGTTTTCTCTGAGTCCATTTACTTTAGCACTTACGGCCTCAACACCATCGTATCAAAGCCTCTAATACACAGGGCCCCATCAAGGGGTAAGGAAGTATTAGCCCTCTTTTACAGGTGGGGAAACTAAGGCTATGTCTAGGCTTCAGAGCTTTTCTGGGATACCGGAGGTATCGCGGAAAAGCTATGCTGTGTCCAGGGAACGCATCTACTTTTTTGGGAACAATTTCTAAAAAAGGGGACACGTTCTTTTGCCATCCCTGTAACCCTCATTGTATGAGGAAGATGTGTCAAAAGAGGAGGCTTTTCTGAAATTTGGCCCCATGTAGACGGGCCAAATTTTGGAAAAGCCTCTTCCAAAAGAAAGTGGAAAAAGATGCAAAATGCAATTTGTGTATCTTTTTCCAATTTGCGTATCTTTTCACGACTTTTCTTTGCAGTCTAGACATAGCCTAAGCCACAAGAATAAGTGACCAGTCACATAAATACAGAGCAGAACCTGAACCTGGTCTCCCAAGTCAGGGTCTTTACTCCAAGATCAACTTATCACCATAACACGTGGCCTATTGGACAGAGATTCTGATATTAAATCATCTGATTGGGTGGGATGTTCCATCCGTATTTTCTGAGGCATTGCGTAGGGGGAGGTGGATAGTGTGCTTTGTTCTGATAGCAGAGAAAACAATCCGATTAATCTTAACGGAAATCGTAAACACGAGAGTGAGACAAATTGCAAAATTGGTATCAGCATAAATGGAGCTATTTCCCTCGCTGCCCTTTGTTTATATCAGTGTTAGTGATATTTGCCTTTCTTAGACATGCAAGGGAGTCTGTTTATATTACTTCCTTTTGCTCGCCCCTAATTAGTTTCCCATGATGTTCACTGAAAAGGATACAAGTTTCTATGTTTGCTCCAACAATGTAGCCGGTGACATCAAAGTTGATGCGGATGAACTTGCCCTGTTAATAAGAAGAGGACATGGCTTGGGCTGCTTCTGTGTTTTATAGCTTATTTTAAGAGGCACATTACAACACTGTCTGCTCTGTAATAACAGGCCCTATTCCTGCCTTTGTAGCAAAACTCCTGGGAGGAGGCTGAAGGGAAGAATCCTCTGAGAGGTTTCCTTGTGAGATTTGCCTTTGTTTCATCTAGGGGAACAAGAAAAGAAAGAAAGAGCCCAGTGGGAAAAGAAAGAGCCCAGATCCACGAACCCCAAAGAGCCTGCAAGTGGCCAAGGGAGGGATGGTGTGAGTCCCTTCTTGCTTCTCAACACAGATCTCTAGGGCCATGGAAAGGTATCTTATGGGTTGGGGGGAAGCAGGCAGGAAATACTATGACAAGCAGCTGATTCTTCAACACAAGAGAGGACCCTCCATATACTGATATAAACCACCGCTATTCTGGGCAACCTTTTCAAACTAAAGAGCCAAACTACTTCAAAATTCAGAACAAGTGATCAAGAAGGAGTCAGTATAAAAATGCCCATTTGCATGACTGAAAATATACAACTTGGTATTATTGATAATTGACATGATGATTAATAATAGCAGAAATGAAACATTGTCCTCACAGATGTAGTTAATGGGACGTCTGCTGCTTTTGGGGGTGCAGTTTGGGGGTGCGGGGTGTGCAGGAGTCAGGGTTGGACTGGTATGTGTGGGAGGTGCAGGAGGCAGGGCAAGGTGCTGGGGTGGGAAATAAAGTATGGGGTGTGGCTGTGGGGCCAGATTACTTTACCTAGCTTGGGCTGGGCTGCTGCACCTGGGTGGCAATGGCTGGACAAGGGGCTGGGCCAGAATTGCCACATCCGGATCATGGCCTCCCCTCCTACCTATGCTGCAGCAGGAGGGGGGCTACCTTCAGTCCTTCCTGCAGCCAGATGGGGCCCAGACCTCAAGGCCGGCCCCAGGATCGGGGCCGGGGACAGGACGCTGTGGCCAGATGAGGGCTGGGGCATTATTGGGGCCTTATTGGCCAGGCTGCCACTGCCAGAGCCTGAGCCGGGCTGCCACTGCTGGGCTGTTGCAACTGTTGTAGCAGTTGTAGGGCTGCCATGGCTTGGCTGCTGGATCTGACCCAGGAGCACAGGGGTTGGGGACAGAGCCCCAGGATCGGGGCCGGGGACAGGACGCTGTGGCCAGATGAGGGCTGGGGCATTATTGGGGCCTTATTGGCCAGGCTGCCACTGCCAGAGCCTGAGCCGGGCTGCCACTGCTGGGCTGTTGCAACTGTTGTAGCAGTTGTAGGGCTGCCATGGCTTGGCTGCTGGATCTGACCCAGGAGCACAGGGGTTGGGGACAGACGACCATCAGATGGGGGCTGGAGCTGGGCTACTGCAGCCAGATGGAGGCATCTGCTGCTGCCAGTCCCTCTCACTATTCTGGCTGGGAGCACGCACACGTCCCTTACAGCATGCCCTCAGCCAGCCCTTTAACAAGCAGGCTACGTCTACACTGGCCCCTTCTTCGGAAGGGGCATGCTAATTTTGAACTTGGGAATAGGGAAATCCGCGGGGGATTTAAATATCCCCCGCGGGATTTAAATAAACATGGCCGCCGCTTTTTTTCCGGCTTGGGGAAAAGCCGGAAAAAAGTGTCTAGACTGGCGCGATCCTCCGGAATAAAGCCCTTTTCCAGAGGATCTCTTATTCCTACTTTCAAGCACCAGTCTAGACGCTTTTTTCCGGCTTTTCCCCCAGCTGGAAAAAAAGCGGCAGCCATGTTTATTTAAATCCCCCGCGGATTTCCCTATTCCCAAGTTCAAAATTAGCATGCCCCTTCCGAAGAAGGGGCCAGTGTAGACATAGCTGCAGTGTCTCCCAGCCAGCTCTTGCCGGAGAGTAGCAGCTTCTTACTGTGGTGTCCCGCCTGACTTTCACCTCTGGTTAAAGGTGAAATAGACCCCCAAAAAAAGACCATCTTGGCATGAGGAATTATGTGTCTATGAAATTTTGAATTAATTTTCATTCTAATTTTAAAAGTTGCATGTATTTTGGGAATGACAAAAGAGCCATATTTGGTTCTGTACTGAGCTTTTGTATTCTAACTTAAGAGCCATAGGTTGTTGATCACTGATTTTGGGTGTCACTGGGAACTGAACCTGGTATCTCACAGGCAAGGTCAGGAGCACGAGCCTAGGTAAAAGCTAACAGAGGATTATACTCAACAAGTCAGAATGTTAATGACTATTAAAATACTTACTACTTTTATTTACTTAAACATTATGGCAAAGTTAAAAGCCTTCCACAAATGTTGTAGCCTTTCTATCTCGAATTACATATATGATTTTTGTACGCAAATGTTTGTTTTTAACGTGTAAATTAATTTTATGACATCTTGCATCCATTACACATTAATAATTAAAAATAATCAGAACAAATTTGTTTTGTTTTACTATCTAGTATCATTGAAAGGGTACACATGATCATGGTGCTGTCTTTACACAGAAGCATCATCTAATTTAAGACTCTTAAATGAGACAGTCCAAGCCAGTGAAGATCAAAGATTCTGGGTCTATAGGGGACTAAATTATTCAAGATGAAAATTTGCTGAATAGGAAGGTTATTGAAGGAAGTGGGCAATTTTGAGAATAAAATCTAGTCTATTTAAAGTCTTGTGCACATTTGAGAAGAGCAGTCTGGTTTTCCTAGTATTCTCATCCTCATTTTTATAATTTATTATTGTCACAGGTATGTATTGCAAAAGCCAAGCTAGTATCTTAACTTACTAGTGTATTGCAATAATAAAAAACCTCAAATAGCATAGCTGGCTTATGAGCATGTGTTATGTATCTGCCTCTGTGCCCAAACCACTCATAGTCCCTGGTCACAGAAGCCTTGCTGGGTCTCTGGGTGGAGTGGTAGAGGGGGACGTGCTTTGCACTTCTGGAAGGGGTGGACCTCAGGTGGAAGGGATGGAGATGGGACTGGAGCTAGGCACCTGGAAAGCACTGTGGAGAGGCAGCCCCTCAGTGTGGCTCTCCAGCAGTGTTTTACAGAATCTGGGGCTCCATCGGCTGCAATAGCAGCAGAAGTGGCCAGGCGCTAGGGGCCCTTTTGAATCACAATTGCTCCCTTTTCTCCCTCTTTCCCCATCAGTGGGCTTGCCCAGAGCCTTATCTCTTTAGCTGAAATTTGAGCTGGGTTCAGTCCCTAATGTGTTGGCCATGATGGCAACCATCATAATCACACACGTACACGAGGAAGAATGATTGGGTTAGCACGGCTCCCACAGAAGTTACTACTTTACCGAGAGATTGCTTAGATCATGCTGAATACTTCTTTTTACAAAACCCAACCCCAGCCTGTATCATGTCAAGTTGAAACTTCATGATTTCCCCTCCTCTACCCTAGAATCATTCATTTCACATATTAATACCCCTACATAAGTCATGCCAGAAAAAGAAAACTGATCCTGTTGGCAAAATGTTACGAAGGTGAATATTAAGCCAAAAAACTCTGGCAGAGCCCAGGTGTGTGTACTGCTAAACACTGAGCAGACTATGACACAGCCAACTTTCAGCCTGTTTTGTTCTTTTCTAGCATTCAAAAATTATGATCCAGAGAGAAATCCTAAATCCCTTCTTTAAGGGGAGTAATTATGGAGAATCTCTTTAAAAAAAAACAATCGACCCCTTCCCTGCAGTGTTCAAAGGATTTTAGCCATCTGCACACATGGTCTTTATGGGGTACTGATGAAAACTGTCATACACAGGGAGCATTTCTGCTACTTACAAATCTGGAGGAGTTGTCATTCTTCACAGTTTTGGCATTGCCAAAAGCTTCAAGAATAGGATTTGCCTGAAGAAGCTGCTTTTCCAGCTCACCCTAAAATTCATGCAGACTCAAGTTAACCTGGAATTCATCAGTTAGTTAAACGAAAACAGGAAATGCACATACCTGAAAAACTCAAGATGTTTTAAGCCTCAGTATATTTTTGCTGATTAATGCACTCCATGTGGATTTATTTTTATTTCTCTAATAATCATTGTGTTTCTATACTGGTGCACTGCAGTCTACTGCTGTTCTGTACACAAAGTAAATAAGACCCTTTTCCAGTGTTGTTGCTTGTTGAAGATCAGATTCTGTTTATCCATTTAGCCTAATAATTGATTTGCCTTAATGGAAGAGTCATTCAGTGTCAACTATGGATATTTTATCTTATTATTATCCAAAATGCTCTAAAGAGAACCTGCTGACTTTTTTCCAAGTTAGTGTACTGAGGTCTCATGATAGAAAATGATGATGTAATTAGAAAAAACTTGCTGAGAATAATTTTAATGTAATGCAGCACAAAGCTACAAAGCAGATTACACCAAGTCTATTAATCACATTACATGCAAGGCTATTTAGGTTGAATATGGAATTGCATTACTTTATTTCATAATAGGACCATGAGTTCCCATGCAAACTTAAACATACTGTTATATTGTTAAACTTTATTGGTAATCGTGAATTAAGCAAATCATGCAATGAAAGCAAATATGAACTTAATCCTATTTCTAGACCAAACAATGATGCTAACAATAAAGTAATTTTGCCTGAGGCCAGCTGCATCTGAATTCCTCCTCCTCATCTACACTGTAGTCATTCACTGTCACATCCTAAATCCATATAACCTTTGCATCCAGGTGTCCTATTCTTTGATTTTCTCCTGATATATTCAGCTCTTTATGCAACACTCTGTATGTCACTTCAAACATAGCTTTTCAAGCAGGAATTTCTTGTAGGAGCTTCATTTTTTTAACAATGTAAATTACTGTGAACAAGTAATAAAGGCAAAATTTGGATTGAGTCCAGAGGAGATAGCTAGCAAAACTACCTCTTGTCACGGCATAGAAAACCACACACTGTATACAACTCTGTTTACAAGGCCATTGCTGCACGGATAGCTCCCTCTCATTCCAAACACCATCACTGTCATTCCTAGTTGTCCTGCACTGGGTATGACAGGAAAGAGGCCTGAGCACAGAAAAGGCAACTGTTCTTTAATCTCTTCTGCTTGGACATGGTTGGTGAATGGGGTAGCACTGCTGACTGTCCAGCTCAGAAGCTCCCCTATGCTGAACTATAAAAATACGTAGCTAGCAGTTCGGAAGAAGAGGAATAGAGATGCTAACTCAGGAAAATAACTTCCTGGAAACAAAACCATGAAAGGTTCCTTACACAAGGCTGCTACCATGCTTTACTGGGTTGGGCAATTCTTTCCAACTACACTCTGCCATTGTAACAACCCCAGTTGTGCTAACAGCAGGGTTTGCTTGGAGGACCTCCTAGAGCACTATAAGCATAGACCTCCACTGCCTGAGTTAAAGGAGCAGCTTCATTAATGGAAGGCTCTAACAGAGCCTTGGATCAGCCACTACAGTGGATCTATGCTTTCCTATACAGTACGAAGTATTGGTTATCAACTTATAGTTCCAAATATGGAGCTAGTGTAAGCAGGTGTATCCCCACTAAGCTCAGTTGTCTACACTAGCATTGAATTTAGTCCATCATAGAAAGAAATTAAATGGATAATTTCAAAGCAGCTTGTCAAATGAACTATTAAATACAATCAACAAATAGTTCAAGATCTGATCTGTCCCCTAACACGATCCTCAATCTTAATTTAAATCTGAGCGGAAACTCACAAGCAACACTGAAGCTCAAGAACTACACCAATAAAACAGCAGAAGACATACTGAAACCTTTTTGTACTATTGTTAATTGTAGGAGCAAGTTGGGGAACATGCAAAGTTTTGCAACATGCATAATTCTCCATGGATGTAGGAAATGCAGAATCATAAGCAATATCAAATGGAAAGCATGCAGATTTACAATCAATCACACACTGTGATCGTTTGGGAATTATTTCACAACAGTCCTAAAAAGTTCAACCTGAAGCACAAAGTCTCTGGGTACTTTCATTCAGAAACAATATGGTCAAATTTCAGGCTGATTGGCTCTTTCAGGATCGTGGGAAAATTCATTCTAACGATGAAAATCTTGATACACACACACAAAACGGTGATACTTGAAAGACAACCCTCTATGTCAGACTTCATCTTTTCATGGAGCTTGACACAGTTAGGGTTAATAGATGTGAACATTGGTGCTATTGTTGCTTTTTGTCACGTGATACAATAACGATATATTCCAACAAAAGTCTTTTTTGGTGCAACAATAGCATGCAAATCTACACTCAGTGCCTTTAACACACATCGAACAGTCTAAGTTACTCACGTAAGCAAAAGATGGACCTTGCTGTAGTTGAATAATGTGGTATAAAACAAATGTCAGTATTATTTCCATCACACATACATTCGTGTCTCTTTTTTTGGTTTGTTTTTTTCTACATAAAAATAACCAACACACAGTTTCTTTATGCCACTTAAACTGGGGTGGGAGAGTAAGGGGAACCAATGGGAACAATCTGTTTTAGACATAATAAGAGTACAACTACAGTGCACACACAGTTCATTTTAGCAGGGGTTGATCATAAAAGTCCTGATCCAAAGTCTGTTCACTGACTTCAGTGGACTTTGGATCAGGCATAAAATAAGTCCCTAAATGCAAGCCAAAGACAGTACTTTTTCAGGATACATTCCTAAGCCTACGCTGCATCCAGACATTTGTAAAATGAATATAAGTGCTGAGACAGCATCCCCAGACATGAAAGTCTCCTATGTGGCCTATAGAACAGAGAGTTTCTCCTCGCTATTCTGTCTCTGTCCTTGCTTGACAGGGCTCACTTTCAGGGGTGAGGGGATAGATCAGTTTCAGAGACAGTTCACTGCTTAGCTTCTTGAGTCTTCCCAGAAGAGTATCTGTTAGCCCCAGCTATAGTGGCAAAGGGGATACCTGGCCATTAGGAATGGCATTGAAACCATCAGCTCATTTCCCGCAGGCAGTTGAACACACATACATTTAGGGCCTGATTTTTCAGAAGTGCTTCACCTCAGGAATACCAGGCCTTTATTCTCAGTTCCTTCTCAGTGAACATAGTGCTGGTGAAAGGTGCTGGACTGAAGTCCTAGAGGCTGGAGTTCCCTACTTGTCTGCATAATAGGTATAGGAATGGCAGTGAGCTCAAACTTCCCCACACTTACTGTGTGGTGTGGATACTTATTTATCAAGGACTGGTAAGTAGGGTTGCCAGATACTTTCACAAAAAAATCCCAGACATGACAGGAAAAAAAAATTGATTGAGCAAAAAAACAAACAAAAAAAAAAAAATAGGGAGCCAAAGTTGTTGAGCAAAAACCAACCAAAAAAACCCCCAACCAAACAACAATAACAACAACAACAAAAGGTCGCTGCACCTTTAAATATCCCCACGTGCTCATCGCTCTCCCTGCAATACATGTCTGGTATTTTCTGTTTTTTTTACCAGACAGGGGTCAGAAATAATCGACTGTCTGGGTGAAAACCGGACACTTGGCAACCGTAATGACTACTCACAAGCCTCTGCCTGAGCCAGCCAGTCTTGCATGTTGTGCCTAATGCTACATTCCTGGTGCATCAAAATCTGTTATGGAAGCAGGCCCATTGTGTCTGTGATGAGGCGGGCTACCCTACACTCGCCCTGAAGGGCTTAGGCAGGGCCAATTAACACAACCGGGAGCTGATCTGGGCAGGAATAGGTAGAGCCTACAAAGTGGCAGAGCTGCAGGGAAAAGGCAGCTCAGACAAAAGGGAGGAGTGAGTAGAGACTGCAGTCACTCCCTGAGAAGAGGGAGGGAGCTGTTGGGAACGAGTAGGCATAGAAAGAAAAGGGGAACAGCAGCAGAAAGAAGCTCAACATTAGAGCAGTGAAGCTGAAGAGAGGGGGGCTCAGCTGGAACCTGGAAAAAATGGTGGGCCTGGGTGGTGGTACAGAGGCAGTAAGAGGAGAGACTGCCTAGGACAGCTGGGGGGGGGAGGGGTGCATGTCTAGTGACATGGCTGGAGGGCTGAGCCATGAAGAGGACATGGGGTTCCTGAGAGGAGCTGTGGGAGGCCACAACACAGTGTCAATGTATAAACTACAGTTGGGAGGGATGTCAGCTTTGAGCTAATCTCCAATACTGGGAGGAGGCCAAATCTGGCAGTGAGTGGTTAGGGTTGCCAACTCTGATGGAAGATATTTGGGGTTGGTTTTTCCCCAAACATAGCAATATAATTTCCTTAAAATATCAGATTAAGATCTCCAGAATTTCTATAATAGCTGCCCGGAGACTGATGCTGATTCCAGCAGACTCCAGGCCAGTCCTGGAGGATTGGCAAATGAGAGCAGTGCCCCCTGCAATAGTGTCAGAAACTGGAATTGTCACAGCTTTTATAAAATAGAAGTTGGGTAACATTTTCCAGTTCCAAAGCTTAAACATTGGATCAACCAGGCTTCAGCACACAGGTTCCTCACTTGCAAGTAGGTTAGTTGAACTAACCCCTACTATACATGCAGCTAGTTCAATAAGAATGCCTCTATTGAACTAGCTACTGCCTAGATACTCCACATTGAGGGGGAAAAACCTTCTGTTGGTGTAGCAAGTGTTTATGCTACAGTGACATAGCTGGACTGCTGTAATAATGCCTGTGGCGTGGGCATAACCTCTGTCACACTGACAATCCCTGGGATATAGGCTCCGTAGTGACGAGCTGCTTTTGAAAATGTTATATCCTGTCAAGATTAAAGTCCTAGGAAGAAGCTGGAAAGCCTCCTAAAAATTTAGACACAAGGATTAAGTTAAGTTAATACCTATTACACCCACTGGTGTGTAGGGCAGCAACAAAGGTTCTCCATTTTTGTTGTAGGAGAATTCTTCGTTGCTGTTTCCATAACATATTTTTTCTAGGTCAGGGTCATTAGCCCTGAGTCAAATCCCCAACCTGGAGGACCAGTAAATCACACTTAGTCTGGTCTCTATCCTTTGACCTGTCTGGCATGGATGATCCTACCAGGAGCACTAGGCTCCCGCTAACATAGCTCTAGGGGTCACTGAGACACACAAGCCCCCCAACCACGACAAGGTTGTGATCCATTGGGGGGACACAAGAATTACTTATTTGTTATTCTGTAGCACAATAAACCTGCTAATCAAGATAATGACAGCTCTATTGGTCTGACTTTCCTCTTTAGATCTTGCTCAGACCTTTCCTGACGGAGCCAAACAATATTATTCAAGTTTTTTCTAAATGTTTGTAGTTACAAAAGGGCAAAGATAAAATAAGGAACCTAACCCCTTGGGAAGCTCATGAAGTCCTTGCTAGACTACAAATAGAAGATATTTATATGGAAGCTATGAATACTTCTCTTCCAGCAGAGTACATTCTGACTTCGTGCCTAAGGGGATGTCTAAGTTGTTGGGCTTTTTCCGTAAACATGGAACTGCGACATAACTGTGTACTCTTAATATGTCAACTATTTGGCAAGACATAGATGTAGCAAACGTTTTGACTTGCTGTTAGCATAGTTGGCTAAGTACAATCCTGACAAACTAGAAGTTAAATTAAAAAGAAAAGCAGCAAGCTATTGAATATGGAAGAGGTCACTTACAGTGATACTGGTGTCCTTCTTGCCCTTGTGTGAGGAAGCAACAACAGCCAGGTATTGAATGACCTTCTTGGTATTTTCTGTTTTACCTGCACCAGATTCACCTCTGGGGAATGAAATTTAAAAGAAAAACGAAGCATAGGTGACTCTGGGGTTCCCTCCATGTTGTGCTACATTTAGGGTAAATAGTAAGAAAACAAATCCTACACTAATCAACTTCTGCATTCTACTTGAACCTGCCAACTCCTGCCTGCCCCACATGCCACCTGATTTCAGCAAACCAGGAATGTGACATCAGGACCCTCGCTTTTTTTTTTTTTAAATCTTGACTGGATATAGGTTCATTTAAGGTGTTCCAAAGACATGCTGCATGGTTGAAAGAGTTCTTCTCACTTGGGAAGCAGCTGAACATTTATTAAAAGCAGGCTGGGGAAGGGAAGGAAACAAGTCTGCCAATATTTTAAGGTGACTAATTAACTACAAATTGGGAATAGAGGAATGGGGTAGAGTGGGAAATCCAACAGCAGTGGTAATACTCATTTGTATTTCCACAGTTCCAGTACTAACAGCTCAGATTTGATCAAAACCTCAGATAATATGGGCATGATCCTGCTCCTTTTAAAGATGGCGGTGAAACTCCCATTGAGCTTGGATCCTCTGGGTCAGATCCTGGCATTTAAGATTGCTGTGTACAACTCTAGCCGAGGGCTGCTGGTGTGGGGAAGCCACAGCTGGCCTAGTTCTAGTTGGTAAAGTGACTATGAATTGGTGAAGTAGGGCTCTGTTTCCATGTGGATTGTCTTCCATGGGATTTCTAGTTCCAGTGTGTGAACAAATTAAAAGTAATGTCACCCCAGGCAGCTGCAAAATCAGCCTGGGATGTTGCAGCCAAGTTGGGTTCTTTCTGACTTCCCACTGGTAATAGCTTTGCTGGCCTGGTTCTTGTTACATCTTTCTAGCCCTGTTTTCAATGCAACTAAATAGATAAGGGTGGAGGGCACATCTGGCCTTGCAATTGAAACTTAGCTCACTAATGAGCATGTATGAGCCATAAAGGAATCCAACTCATTCTGCCCAGAGCCCTGCTGATCTAATGGTTAAAGGCATCAAACATTTAGTTTTGGCACTGAAATAAGCACATTTGACTGAAATCAGATAATTGGAAACAGATCTGGGCCAGAGGCCATTTTTACGTAATCACTTTTCAGACTCAGCCTAATCATTCCTTCCCTACTTCTTAAGTTCTTCTGCCCTGGCTTTTCTAGAGTCCTCTAGACCCAGGTCTCATGTAGACAACACAGCAATTCTGGGGTATGTCTACACTGCAGAGGAAGATCGAAGCCGCTACTGTCGATCTTCCAGGGTGCGAATTAGCAGTCAAGTTAAGACAGCTCATTCGAACTGAGAGGGGTGCTCCCGCCAATGCCGCTAACCCTCATTTCATGAGGAGTAAAGGAAATCGAAGGAAGAGTGCTCTCCCTTCAACTCCCTGCAGTGTGGACAGTGCCAAAAGCTGAGTTAAGCTATTTGGACTTCAGCTACACAATTAACACAGCTGAAGTTGTGTACCTTAACGCGACTTTGTCCTGGAGTGTAATGGCAGCTTGTGGAAACATGGGGCAGTGAAGATATGGTGCAATAGCTTCAGTGTGTGCTGCAGGAGCCTGCCCAGAATCCTGGCTAATTACGTGGGTGGCTAGGCTGTGCTGCAGCCCCGGCTGCTGCTCTGTCAGTCGTCCAGTGCTTGAGCTAGCTAGGTTAAACTAGTCTGGATATATTTACATGAGCTGAGTCCCCCATTGCAGTGTGGACATAACTTAGGGCATCCTCTTGCATTTCTGTGCCCATTAAAAAGGGCCTTAAAGTGGTTGTGAATATAATTAAAACTCCCTCTAAGTCCCCTTCACACAACCAAAACCCCATCAAAGGGTCTTAGGCTAAGTAAGAATCAGGCTCATTTTGTTGCTTGCACTAAGTGGATTTACAAAAACAAATGCATAAATTCCCATTGGCATTTATTCAGGTCCTTTGATGTAGGAATTATTTCACCGCATCAATTGCAGTTTTTCTTTTCCTACTGAGGAAATAAAATAGTTAATTTTCTGTTCAATTCCCTCCGATAGCAGGTACTCCATGATAAGAATTGTTCTTTCTTGCTTGCAGAAGTTCAACAAGATTAACTGAGATGAACAAGGTCCTTTTGACAAGACTGGATTAGTTTGCACAGTTAAGAAGACAGATCCCTCCCTGCTTGGGCTTCAGAGTTGAAACATTTCCATGTTTTATTGATAAAAATGAAGTGTCCTGGGAATGATTCCAAGCTAAGCACACCAATTTAAAGTCTTCTGCATACAGAGTTTTCAAACAAATCCACCTTACAACTTTGCCTTTTGGGAAAAATAAAAAAACTTTATTCTAACAAGCCCTGAGCTTTGAACTATTTCATTTATGAAAGGTTATTTGCAGTTCATCATTATGTGAGCTGCATTTCCTCTCTCCCAGGGCAACAGTACCCATCACTGGGCTTTCTCTTAAATCCCTGGGAGTATTACCATATATGGCATCATTTTACTTTTAATTCTCCTGCCATACTGCAGCTCTTAAGTTACTTAACATTTTGCTCTGTGCTCACTTGCCTTAACCCTTTTCTTCCAAACTGTTTTCTGCAGATGAAGTGTGAGGCTTGCTCGCTTTATTTTGAAGTGGACAACGAAAAGTTAAACAAGGTTCTAAATGTCAGATGCTGTAACACAGCAGCAAGAAATGGAGTAAAGACCTATTAAATAATTGAGTCTGCTTATCAGGGATATCAAGAGCGTGTATCGAACATACTGCACTTGGTCTTTTCTGAAAGGCCATGGAGATAGACAAGTCTGAAGTGCTGTTATGAATTAAGCAAAATGGGAGACGCGTGTGACAGTCAGCGGGCTAATGATGGAGCAGAGAATTACAGGGAGAGAGGCAGCACGGGCCAAGCAACTATGCAGCATCGCAGCCTGGAAATATTTTGGCCTTGGAAAGGGTTCAGAAAAGGGCAACTAAAATGATTAGGGGTTTGGAACGGGTCCCATATGAAGAGAGGCTGAAGCGACTGGGACTTTTCAGTTTAGAGAAGAGGAGACTGGGGGGGGGGGGGGGGGGGGGAGGGAGGATTATTGTCTTTGGCCTCTGATGATAGGAAAAGAAGCAAGGGGCTTAAACTGTACCAAGGGAGGTTTAGGTTGGACATTAGGAAAAGCTTCCTGTCAGGGTGGTTAAAGACTGCAATAAATTCCCTAGGGAAGTTGTGGAATCTCCATCACTGAAGATATTTAAGAGCAGGTTAGATCTAGATGGGATGATCTAGATGGTGCTTGGTCCTGATGTGAGAGCAGGAGACAGGTTGTGATGATTTCTTGAGGACCCTTCCAGTTCTAGTGTTCTAGCAGTGGTAATATAAAGGGCACATCATAACTTCAAGGTTAACACTTGATCCCACTGATTAAGCTCCCGATATGTGAAAACAGATTATATTAAACTATAAGGGTACATCTACTCAGCAACATTATTTCAAAATAACTAGGGTTATAAAAAATAACTAGGTTAATTTGAAATAATTTAGACCACGTCTACACAGCAGGCAGTTATTTCGAAATAATGTTGAAATACTGTCAAGCTGGAGGACTTCTTACTTCTACTCTTGTAACCTTCATTGTACGAGAAGTAAGAGAAGTTGGAGGAAGTGCTCTATTTTGAAATAAGTGCTGTGTAGATGCTCCCAATTTCAAAATAAGCTATTTTGAAATAAGATACGCAATTGATGTAGCTCAGTTTGCGTAGCTTATTTCGAGTGTAGACACACCCTGGAGGTCTAAAATGGATTGGCACAGATTCACCCTTTCTCCCCCATCTCCTCCTGACCATCTGTTATTTGCAGCATGGTTTGAGAATTTTGCTGGTTTGACCTACTGAAACTTGGTGGCCAGCATCTTGAATGGTATCCTTCCTGGAACTAGGGTGATCAGATGTCCCTATTTTATAGGGACAGTCCTAATATTTAGGGCTTTTCCTTATCTAGGTGCCTATTTACCCCATCCCTGTCTCCTGTCCTGATTTTTCACATTTACTATCTGGTCGCCTACCAGAAACTACTAACCTCTAGCACACTTTAGCGCGCATTAGTCATGTTGACCTGTCATGACATAGTGTCTCACAGAGTTACCTTCCAAAGCCACCGGTTGTGGGATGGCAGCAATATGTTCTTTTGCTGTGCCATGCCCTACAGTAAGTAAAGTAGCTGAAAAGCTCTCTGGCACCATTTTCATCTCCTAGATCTTGCCCCTCATGGGTCTTTAAAAATTTCACTCCCCTTCCCAACATCTGGTCACTGTGTCCCCCATGATAGGTTTCTGGGGTGGAGGTGTAGAGGGAGACTTGTTTGGGAAGTGTCTTCCACAGTTTTAGGCTTGAACCCTGCACAAAATCCCACTTCTCCATCATAAATAAGGCAGCATGATAATTACAATCGCAAAAGTAGACTCCTCTCATAGTGGACAATAAACACCAAATTAATGCACATGTCATGAGTCCGTGCAATAACAATACAATATTTCATTTACATACTATGCATATCCTCTACCCCACCATCTCCCAACAAATTGTTGTTCTTGCCAAGCTAAAAATGTATTGCTGTATTGAGAGGTCCTGTCTGCGAGAAGCTGCTATTCTTTCATTGCTTAGTGGGGGTGAAATTTGCACCCTCTCTAAGCTGCTTTTACCAGCCTTTGTCTATGCTCCCAAATACCTTTAAAAATCTGGACCATGGTCTTCACTGAGGATTAGTGCCTTTGTTTAGGCGGGGGGAAAATTATAGTGGATTGAGAAATCACTTCTGAGCATGCTTATTAGGCAGCTGCTATGAAATATTACCCACTGTGTGACATCTGTGCACATTCAATGCTTCCCTTCCCCTCTGATCAGTGACCTCAAACTGGAGCAGCTGCTGGGACAACTGGACACACCCCTCAGCCATCAGAAGATCACAGGTGTGAAAAATATAGTAAATCTTTGTACTCTCAAGAATTTGCATTACATTTTACAGTTTCTTAACTTTCAGGTATAAATAGA